AAGCATACCTTCAAATAGCGTATAAATTGCAACTCTTCAGGAATGAGGAAAAGTAGTGCCTTTCCTTTTCCACCTTCCCCTCGAGCTGTTCTACCAACCCTGTGGATATATTCCTGCAAGCAGATATCCCATTATACTCTGTATTGAGCATGAATGAAGAAGAATCACAAGATACCAAAAGTACTAGAAATATATTAGTAAAGAAGAAGTATTAGACACCTTGGGTTCATCTGGAGGATCAAACTGCAAAATCCAGTCCTGCAATAAAAGAAAAGGAAAAAGAAGCATAAGATTACCATCGGCATTTGCTTATTGCAGATATTGCTAATATAATTAAGAAGAATACCTAGATAATTTAATGTTCAAACAGGATAAAACAATGGCAGGATAATAGTTAGCATCAACCCAATTCCCATTAAGTAATCATACTAGGTTCTTAAAAATAGCTTATGAGAAAAAGGGAGGGAGGATTATAGCTCAAGAATGTTGCCATTCTGATCAAATACATTGGGATATCTAATGTCGTAGATAAAATCATTGAATGGTAGAAAAACTAACAAGAACAATAAATTTCTGAAGTGTGAGCCTACTTCAAAACCAAGAAGGAAATATACCACAGCAGGAATATCCAGTCCACGAGCAGCAACATCGGTACAAAGTAAGATTCCTTTCTCTGCTTTGCAGAAATCAAAAAAGGTAGTTGTCCTCTTCTGCTGCTTTTGCTTTCCATGGATATCAAAGCAATCCACATTAACGTATTTAAGAAGTTCGGAGTGGAATTTGACAGAGTTACAAGAAGAGAAGAAGACCATCACTTTCTTAGAAAGATTCTTCGTCAGGAAAGAATATAGAAGAAGAAATCTCTTGGCACTAGGCACAATACAATAACCTTGCTGCAGCCCTTCATTGGTGACCTATGGTGCACAAAACCTTGTCAGATTCTAATGATTAGGGCTAAATCACAAGAAATGTATATAATATATATACGATAGAATACGAAGTAGACTTATATTCATAATAGATATCAACACTAAGCAAATGTCAAATAAGGAATACATAAAACCATCTGGATTCCTACCTTAGTTCTCCCCTCATCCACATCAACATAGATAGGTTTCTGATCTTTCCGAAATGACAACTTAACAAGATCTTCAACCTATAGGTTTAACAGGAAAAGTTTTATCAGGGCAAGGCATTCATGTAACATATGGGCGTACATGTGGACTCAAAGCAACAAAAGTTAGTAAACTATTGTGTGATGCATATGAATTTAAGCTAAACCATTTAAAAACAAAGCACAAACAAGAGATTGACTACTATGAGATGTGGATATAATGCACTAACCTTCTTAGTTTGGGTTGCTGAAAATAAAGCTGTTTGCCTATCCTGCACATCCATTAGCAATTCAATCAGCCAAAGAATACTACCAGGTAAAAATCAATTCTAATTTGCAACTAAACCCATAAAATTCATTTATCCAGGCTGAATGAGAGCCATACACAATTAACCAAACTAAAAGCTCCTATTAAAAGAAAACCAGAAACATATGTTGCGAGCAGGATGCATCTATGGTTTGCAGCCTTTTGTAGCACAAGAGGTAGAAAAACTAAATCAAATAGTTTACCTTTGGTAGATACTTAATAATCTGTTTCATTTCTTCCTCAAAGTTTGCTTCCAATAACCTGTCAGCTTCATCAATCATGAGGCACTGCAAGTCCACGAGAACAATGAAACTAAAGATTGTCAGATGCTGTGATGTTTCTAGTCTCTAACAAACAACACAAGTTGCAGTAGGATCCCGAACCACAACTCAGTATTTCATTAAAAGGATGAATAACTACAGCAGAATATTCCAAAGTCAAGGAAGCAATTCGTAGAATTTTCTTTAAATCAGAAAGCCACCCATAGCAATTAGAACCACTTCACAAAATAACCAGTTAAAAATATTTTTGAAACAACCACAACAATAGTGCAGAAGAATATAGATGTGGCACCTTCAAGTTCTTATATATGAATCCCTTGGTATTCTGAAGATGGTCAAGAAGTCGACCAGGGGTTGCAACCAATAAATTTACTCCTTTTACAATACGTTCTGCTTCTCCTCTCCTGGCTGAACCACCAATAACCAAGCCCAGAGTCTGTGAGTGATACTTTAGAAGGTCCTTTGCCACGGCATGGGTCTGAATGAATTTGAAAGGAGAAATAGTCAGGGAAAAATAAAAGGCTTCAAATGTAAATCTTAGAATGCGACAGCATAAAATGTAATAAAGCACAATAAATTTTTGTAAAATTTGTACAATATGGAGAAAGTTAACTTTCATATCAAGCAAATACAAATACCGAGTCAAAGCCCACTAATACATACAATTACAGTAACAAAGTCTACTTTTACTAAGGTTCTTTGCAGAATGGCGTCATCATTCAAAGAGAACTAGCCTTAGATGTTCAATGCGAAGAAAAAAATTTGTGCTTACTAGTACTTTAGAAGGCGCAAACTAATTTTAACTTAGATGATGTGAAATTTGTATAGGCATCAAAAAGGTCTTCTTGAATTGGAGCGAACTCCACCGTGCTATTGGAGAAATGTAACAAATCAAAACAAATAACAACAATATGGCAGGATTTTCACCTGTATTGCAAGTTCCCGTGTTGGGCAAATCACAACAACACCTGTTCCATTACGAGGAGCAAAATGTATGTTATATAGCAGCTCCACAGCTGGTATTAGAAAAGCAAGAGTTTTCCCAGATCCTGTCCTTGCAGCTCCAAGGACATCTTGTCCGATCAAGAGCGGTGGGATTGCTCTGGCTTGAATCTGCATTTGTAATTACTTGTAAATTTAAATAAGCCCAAATCATCTACAACTTTTGCAAACAAAAAGTAAAAGATATCTCAACGAGCATACACATTTCTCATTTAAGGCAATTCCCAATATGATAGCTTATAAATTTTATTAAAATTAAAAAACAAAACCCATAAGCTAGGAGGAGCTAGGAGTAGCTATGAGCTAAGGAAATCCAATTCAAGCAGGGAAGTTACCTGAGTCATATACTGAAAGTTCATTTCTTGAATGGCCTTGAAAGTGTTCTCAGACAAATTCAAGGAAGCAAAGGACTGTGTGCTCATAATCCCAGACGCTCCATCACTCTTCACCTTCTTCTCGCTAGGGATTTTAGCCTCTGCTTCCTCTCCCTTCGAACTCTTTCTCTTCTTAGTCTTCTTCTCTTCATCCTTAGCTTGTTCCTCAACTTCTCCTTTCTCTTCTTTTTCTATTTTTTCTTCTTCTTCTTCTTGTTTTGCCGGATTAGGGTTTTGAGGCTCTGCTTGTTCGGTGTCTGCCGATTCTGATTGTTTCTTCCCTCTGTTTCTCTTGCGCTTCTTCTTCTTCGTCTCGTCGTCCGGAGATGCGTAAGGGATTACGTCTGTCATGGCGACTGGTTCTAAGGAATTGGAGCTTTACACTTTCTGGGGCGCAGAAGAAGAAGACAAGCTCTCTCTCCCGAGCTAAAACTAAGAGAAAAGGAGCTCTGTGATTTTTGTAGGGTTTGGTGGTTGTTAAACCCTAGCCACCATGCGTCGCTGTAAAACTACTCGCTCCACTCGGACGAGTCCACTATGCGGTTTGGGCCCACCCAAATTTGGTCTAACAGATCCGGGCTCAAGCTATATATATATATTACATATATTCAGTTTCAATATGGGCCTATTTGGCCCAAACCTGCTCAACAGAAAAGTTAGGCCCTGTATTGAAGATCATGAGCATGACCAGAATAACAAAATATCAAAAACCAAAATTGAAGTTTTGTTTCAGTGACAAAATATATCTTGAGCATGTTACCAAATTATCTGATCATCATAAGAATAGACAAGCTAATCAATTGGTGTACGGCCGATACATTCATATATAATTAGTGCCTCAATAAACTTTTACTTTCTTTTTTTCTTATATAAGCGATGTTAAAAAAAGAGGGAATTCGAACATTGAGTGCATGATAACTACTCTTAACAACTCGAGCTACAAAACTCCTTCTAGTACACCAACATAATCTTGAAGATGAGGCACCAAGAACCCACCAAATTATGGGAAAGTTGATTGCATTGCTTATATAAGATGTGGCTCCAAAAACCCACCAAATCATGGTATTTTGTTTGAAAGCAACCAGTCTTCAATCATCAAGTATCATTATGATAAGGTAAATTATACATAAATTACTTTAATATGAGCTGCTCTACTTTAATATATGCATGAATTATCATAATTCGATGGGTTGCTCTGATGGCCTCTCTTAGAAGGCATCCTTTGTTTATATAGACAAAACTTTAATCATAGCCCCCAATATTGTGTGTAATTAACAGAAAATTGAATTGACATTGAATTGACAATAAAGCTAATTTAACCACACAAAAAAAAAACACATGCATCAGCCGTTTGTCTATCAAACGTAGTGTTTTTCAGATCCAAATGGTACAAGTTTTTACTGGTTCAAATGCTCCTTACTTTACCAGAAGTCAGACAATATTATTTACAGAGTGTTTGACTTTTAAAGTGAGGAAACCTTAAATAAGAGTTTCTTCTTTGATGGGAATTCCTTCCTAGTAGTTTTGTTTTTTTTATCCAAATGAATAGGAAAATATTACTACTTTATAATACAATATTATTGTGTGATTTGGATATTGATCAATAACAAGTAAGTGAGTGAAAAAAAGAAGAACAGAAACAGAAAGAGAAAATACTGCTGCTGCTGTACAACATAAAATACAACCCCTGCCCTGCTACTTTAGAAAAAGATTACATCTTTAATGATTTCACCATATAAAGAGGAGAGGGTTTCCCGTGCAATATGAAATTTCCTCAAAATGGACCCCACAGTTCTCTTCCTACTGGCTACAAAATCTGACAACATTTTGACCGTTACATTAGGTCATTCAAAATTTTCAAATGCAATACCCTTAACAGCCTTCCATTGTTTGCTTCTTCCACCCAATTAAGCCAAAAAGTTCAAACTAAATCAATACAGCAAGAAGCAGAATCTGGAGTGGAAGTAGCAACTACCTTCAAAACTGACACTACCTACCGTTGATGTCCCTCAATCTAACGGCTCAAAGACCCTCCAAAGTTAATACCCAAATCACAATCTTGATCTTCCCTCTATTTCCATTTCCGCTGTTCACCTATTCACTCTTCAACAGTGGCATTCAATTGATTTCCAAGGCAAAGTTTTGAACTTTCTGGCATTTTTAGCAGTTTCTTCGATTGGGTCGGCGTTGAAAATTTTCTGGGCATGTTTGGATAGTGAGAAAATCATAGGATGCCTGTCTCAACTCGATCTCAAATCAACCAAGGGCAAAATGAACCAAACCCTTTGGAGAGTAGCAAACCCAGGTCAGATCAAGAACAAAACCATGCGAATTTTCCACTGAGAAACCCCCACCATGGCTTGAAAGAAAAGATGAAAGCTTTAACTCAGCTCTATGAGAAGCAAAAGCAGGCCTCGGCAGCTCTCAGGAACCAGTCTTCAAAAACCGATCAGGAGCTGCGGTTCACAACTCACCCGAGCGTCGAGCTTCTTGGTTCTTGTAAAAAAGAAGAGAAAGAATCGAAGCCTAGCCATGTGATGCGAGAGAACAACAACACAATGCACAACTCCACCATTACAAGAACTTATGTTCTGCCTCAACCACCAACCCATGACGCCAAGGAGAATGTAGTGGGCGGCAATGACAAAATTCTCAGCTTTACTTCGTGCCCGAGAAAGGCCAAGGCTTCTACTGCAGTAGCACGGAGGCTCTCAATGGGAGGTCACGTGCCGCAGCCGGAGTCTAAAGGGGCGGAGGGAACTAAGAATGTTCCAGAATCGGAGACCACTTCGGCTTCAGAGAAACACACAAGTCGGATTCTTGTGTTTGTGAGGCTCAGGCCGATGGCCAAGAAGGAGAAGGAAGTGGGTTCTCGGTGCTGTGTTCGAATTGTGAACAGGCGTGACGTTTATCTCACGGAGTTTGCGAACGAGAACGATTATCTGAGGCTGAAGCGTCTTCGAGGACGACATTTCACCTTCGATGCTTCTTTCCCAGATACCACTTCTCAACAAGAAGTTTATTCCACCACGTGAGTTTTTGTTTAATTGTATATCAATGATTTATTGGACCTTTTAATACTCGTCTGATGAAACTTTATATAATTCTTGTAATTGTTTTGCATTTTTCCTTCTTGACTTGTTCTTTAATACTCATCCAATAAATCATTTCTTGTTTTGCGTTGTTCTAGTTTTGTATTGTTCCTTTCTCTCTGCTTGAAAATGTTCGATCTTTGCACATAAACTTCAGCTTCAATTATGCATTCAAATTCTTCATTACCGTCTTAATTGTGTTGGTTTGTTTCATTTTTCCTGTTTGTCTGTTGAGGAAAAAGAAAAACAAGGAGAAGTAAGGTTCTTATTGTGTTGGATCACAAGAAATGGAAAACATTCTACAACTAAGCTGATGGTAGTTTTGTTTCAATATAGCTGTGAGTTTGGTTTCTTGGGGTCTTGAATTGATAAATCACTTTTCCAATACCTTTGTCATCAACCAAACAGAAAGAGTAATTGCCATGAAAGAATTGCTGCTAATGTTGTTTATCTCAGTAGAGCTGAAACTGTCTCCTTTTTGCGAATCATTGTGTGGTTTCCATAAACATTCACTAACCTGGTGTACCCCGTCTAAGTTTTCAGTACGGCAGAGCTTGTGGAAGCAGTTCTGCAGGGAAGGAATGGATCAGTCTTCTGCTATGGTGCTACAGGAGCTGGAAAAACATACACAATGCTAGGCACGCTGGAGAATCCGGGAGTTATGGTTTTGGCAATCAAGGACCTCTTTACCAAGATAAGGAAGAGGAGCTGTGATGGAAACCATGTGGTTCATCTGTCCTATCTTGAGGTCTATAATGAAAGTGTCAGAGATTTGCTCTCTCCTGGAAGGCCTCTGGTACTTAGAGAAGACAAACAGGTCTACCTCTTATCTTGTATCTTACATTACTTTACTTACAACCATTCACAAGAAAAGAAAACTAAGTTACCAAATTTTCTGTAAGAGTTATAATAATGTCACAAACAGAAGTTGTACACTACAAATGTTTTACCAACTTAGAAAATGTGACTGCCTTTTCAGAAATGGAATTCTTATCTCTAAGATAAAATGATGTTTATCAAGATCACGCTTTATTTGTTTGCTGTGTGTTTGCCAAAATATGCAGAGGGGAAAATCTAAGAGCAATGTAGCTTATTACTTTGAAACTAGCTGCATCATTTCACCCAAAACATACTTTTTCCATATGCATCTCATTTGTTTTATGTGGTAAAGCTTCTGATTATGGAAAGCTTAGTTGTTAGTGCCAGTTAATTAAACTAAGTTTAATTATAAGTAAAAGTATATGGCATTTATTTCTCATCCTAAGATGTTAGTGTTTAAACAATATTCGTTCAAATGTATTACAGGGGATAGTGGCAGCCGGACTTACACAATACAGAGCTTATTCCACCGATGAAGTAATTTCTTACTATCTTTTCTGATGATTTTAAAGATTAGATGCTTTGTTTGGGAGTTAATCTGTTGTTTGGTCTATCTTTGGGTTTGTGGCAGGTCATGGCATTGCTTCAGCAGGGAAACCAAAACCGAACTACTGAACCAACTCGCGCTAATGAAACTTCCTCACGGTCCCATGCTATTTTGCAGGTAACAATAGAGATAGGCTTTTGAATGAAACTTCCTCAGTTTCTTTCTATCTTTCTAATTTGCTCTCCTTCTATATCCAGGTTGTGATTGAATACCGGGTAAAAGATGCTTCCATGAATGTGGTCAACCGAATTGGCAAGCTCTCACTTATTGATCTTGCCGGGTCAGAGAGAGCCCTTGCCACGGATCAGAGGACAGTTAGATCTCTCGAGGGTGCCAACATAAATCGGTCACTCCTTGCACTGAGCAGCTGTATCAATGCTCTAGTGGAGGGGAAGAAACACATACCTTATCGGAATTCAAAGTTGACCCAACTTCTCAAAGATTCTTTAGGAGGAGCTTGTAACACTGTGATGATTGCTAATATCAGCCCATGTAATCTCTCCTTTGGTGAAACCCAAAACACTCTTCATTGGGCTGATCGAGCAAAGGAAATTAGGACAAAGGTCAATCCTCCTAACTTTTGTTTTTCAACTACCATTCTTTATTTGTAGCCCATCTGAGAGCGTTGTGTCAGTAGTATTTTGCAAGTTGTGTTGAAATGTCAAGACTTGAATAATTCTCTGACTATCTAGACTCATGGCATATGATGTTGCATGTCTTTCGCTTAACAGGCATTGGTTTCTATCTTCCCCAAAGTTTCATGCTTTCTATCAGTTACAAAATTTAGGCGAAAACTTTCATGGTAACTCCACTATGGCAACTCTAAATATTGTTTCTTTCCTTGCCATCTTTCACAATCGCAGGCGTGTGAGGTGAACGAGGAAGTACTGCAAGTACCTGAATCTGATACTGATCAGGCCAAGCTATTACTTGAACTACAGAAAGAGAATCGTGAACTGCGAGTACAACTAGCACATCAGCAACAGAAGTTATTAGTTATACAAGCACAATCCTTGGCTGCAAATGCCTCTCCAACCCCTTCTTCAGTTACATCTCTTTTGACTCCTCCAACTTCTGCCCAACCAAATGAGAAGCGGAAACCCAGACCCTCTTTCTTGACTGGGAATTGTTTCACACCAGAATCCAAGAAAAAAGGTGCTGAGGAAGCAGTTAGAGAGCTTCGTAAGACTGTAAAGGCATTGGAAGCAGAAATAGAGAAGATGAAGAAAGATCACACTTCACATCTAAAGCAGAAGGATGATCTCATTCGTGAGCTTTCACGGAAAAGTGAAAAAACACCAGGAGCAGCAGGGAGGGAGGGGGGGACAAAGAGGATAGTTACAAGGGCTAGCTTGAGACCACAGGAGCCAAGGACTAGCTTGAGACCACAGGAGCCAAGCACTGGTGAGCTGAAGAGCCCGAGTCACCGTTTTAGGTCACCAGTCCCAACGGCTAAAAAACGAAGCTTTTGGGACATAACTACGGCAAACAGCCCATCAGTAGCTACACTAAATGGAAGAAAAACTAGAAGCCATGTCATTTCTGAACCTGCTGGAGCTCCCTCCATGCTTCTTCAGGTAATCCAACTGTTCCCATTGTCTTTCCTTCGCTTCTTTTTGATTAATGTGTATGGTATAAATGAATCACACACATATGAAACTTCTAAGAAATAGTTAAGAGGGACTTCTCACTAAAATCTCTTCCCCCTGAAAGTCCCGTGGCCCCTCTCTCTCTTTAATCATTTATGTATAAGTTTCTTAGTCATGTAACTGATGCAGCTTGCATATCCATGTTTCTGGTTTGTGATATTTTTTGGACCGCACATCATCAATTGCACCATTCAGCCAGGTTTTGCACGACAACAGCCTGAGCATTGGAAGTAACATTGGACAAACAGGAAGAAAGGGAGAAATAGCTACTTAGAGCTGTCTGGAAAATGGAAAGATTGTGGCATTCTGGCTAAAGTGCTTCCTACCAACATTTTCTCTACCCAACGTGGAGGAAAGATTATTACTTTGTAGGCGGTGCTGCTGTTACTTGTATGCAATGTGATCAACCAACCCCCACAATGGAGTCTGAGTTGTCAATTACGTTATTCTTTCCTCATACGATTTCATTTGTGGAGTCAGCAGAAGATATTCCAGAAGTTCTCTTCAGAATTATGCATATTATTTATTCCATTTAAAGATCACAGTCAAGTTAATAATTTGTGCTTGTATATTTTAAGAACTGAGAAATAAGTACTATAAATTTTCCCTTCCTAGCATTTTTTTATATATAAAAAAGGTTTATTAATTATTGCTAAAAACAGAAGGCATATACATCATTCTTGATGAATTACAGAGAAAGATTCAAAAATGCAAAACCACCAGCCATTTCTACGCTGCATGAAATATCTTCGCATCGCTAACGACAACGAACGAATATACAGTAATAAATACAGTGCCACTGAAAGAAAGATAAGCTGATGAACAAAATTCAACCATCATGTAGGCAACAATGGAAAGAGTTTGCAGATGATGTTTAATGCAGTGCAATTATTTGCATGGATCAAAGTAGGCCTGCATATAGTCAGTGCACTCCCTTTTTCTTTTCCATTTCCCTCTGAAAGTCTTAAGATTATCAACACTAAAACTATGATGATGATGATGATGATGATGATGATCCAACCCCATTATGTATGGAAATACCAAATAAGGCCACTACTACAGCACCACTTGATTCAAAAAGCCAATCCACTACTTCTAGTGCGGGCCTGCAGTCTGCTTATATTAATTAATCCCATAATTGACTTCTAATTGCAAGTATTATCAGATAATGCGTCCACTTGTCCAATTAAGGAAAAAGATATATGGGTGCGCAAAGAAAAGTTGTTTCTACATTTCAGGCCCTGGCCTTAAGTGTCCGAGCAGCTCTTCCACTTCCAGCACGGGGCTCAGAGCCTTTAACTGGCCCCCCTCCCCCATAACAGCAGCTTCTAGCTCCTAACTAAGGCCAAATTAACAGTGTTGCATATATGCATGTTTTGTACGGTGTAAAGATTCAACTTCATTCCTCCTCCTATGTGTGTGTATAAAATATGCCTAAGTTTCCTTTTTTGGGTTTTGTTTATTACAATTACTACACCTGAGTGCTGAAGAAGGGCTAAGGTGGTCGTATTTATTGGAATAATAATTGTATAAAGCAGTGGCCTAGCTAGCTAACTTTATGTACAGCCAGCCACCAACTTTTGAATCCTTTGAAAGAATGATGAGTGGATGATCAAAATGAACCTTGGTTTCTGTGATAAGATAATCCTTTGAGGCCTGTAGGGAATGGTTTTTGTCCCAGCTGTAACACATAGCATTTTTAAAAGAGGCGTCTGGCTCTCTCTCCTCCCCATTCTTTTCATTGCAGTTGCAGAGAGAAGAAACAAAAGGCATACTTGAAAGCCTTGAAACTAGGAGAGAGAGAGAGAGAGAGAGAGAGAGAGAGAGAGAGAGAGTTCATTTCAATATTGCATATCACTGATTTAAATTCACAACTGAACTGATAGGTTATTATACTTTAAGTGGCCTAAGCCTAACCATAAAAAAGGGGAAGCCACATTAACACATTACTGAAGAGAATGTAACAGGGGTCATTTAAATTCAGCAGGGAATCAAATGCCAAGGTAGAAAAGCAGTCAACAAGTTTACATTCAGAACCAAAAATTAAAGGGATTAAAGAAGAAAAGAAAAAAGCAGTCAATCATAAGAAAAGCCAAATTCTGCTGTCAGGAATTGGATTTGGGTTTTCCTTTTAATATTTTGCTTTTGATGACTTCTATGACTACTTCAGTAAATTTATCTTGGGATCATTCTCACACAAAATTATATATCAAAAGCAATGATTGGAAATTGAAATAGCCTATACTTTTAGACCAAATGCCCAAATCTTATGGGAAGAATGTGTATGAATGAACGTTAATGCAAAAAAAAAAGGATCCAAGCTTAAACAGGGAAAGGGAATTATTAGTAAAGCAAAAACAGACACCAAAACCTATCATTGAAGTTATCCCACATATCAGAAAGAGAAAAGAAATTGCACCCCACACAGACAAAAGAAAAAAAGAAAATTGCATCTTTGCGTCATAAATCTTTTCCCTTTTGACTATATGCATTTGCAGCCATCTTGTGATCTAAGAACAAGGTTTCATTACATGGACAGAGAGGGGGGAAAAAACCAGTTTGTGTTTTTGCATATTGATCTCATATGAGTTTCCATAATTACCATAAACATTTTTGGTTATGCAGGAAGTAGCTTGTGCTTTTACCAAAAGCACTTTTGGTTATGCAGAGGATGGGCTTCCAAATAGCAAAGAAATCATTGTACTCATCTACTGTACCAAGAGAACAGAATCATAAGAGACAAGGGTCCATTCCCTTTCTCTGTTCAGCTTACCTGCTGGCTTAACTATATTGGCTAAGAATTCAATTTAGACTTTCTTCCTTAGTGAAAGAAAACTCTTTCTCAGCATTAACTTGAGATAAGCCATTATTTGAAAAGCAGAGGAAATTAACCCAAAAAAATGCAAAGAGGACACAATCATGATTGCATTAGCATCCTTGTCTCATCATCACTTAATTAAGGATTGGAAAAAGCTATACATATACACCTTCATGACCCCCCCACCTACCATCATGTGTATTGCCCCCCCACCTAAACTAACAAAATATGAAAATACATTAAGCCCACTAAACCATTTTCTCCAAATATACCAAAACAGAAAATAAAAATAAATAGAAAAAAGAACAAAGAAAACTACTTGGAGAGAACTAGGCCTCCAATTCCTAAATTGAAGAGCAAAACAAGTATCCCCATCAGCTTACTCTTCAAAAATGGAAGCACATAGTGGAATTAGACTCGAAGCAAATAGATACTGAGTTCAGGAGCTCCATTGCTATCAGGGTTCATCATGTAGAAGGCCTCAGAGTCTCTGGATCCAACAACTCTCTCAAACTTGGCCCTCATGTACATGAGTTCACCATCGGACCCATCTTCAGCTTCATTCCCTGCAGCAGCTGGCAAAACACCAGCCCCCATTGAAATTGGCTCCACAGCTTTCAGCACCTTCCACTCCTTGGGCCCACATTCTCTTCTGCTTGCAAAACCATACTTCTTGCCGTTGCAAAATGTTCTCCACACAGGCTCTTCTAGCAGCCTCAGAGCTTTGTCTTTCTTTTTCATTTCTTCTTTGTCTTTGTCACACTCCAAGGCAATTCTAACGAGCCCGGATGCCATTTCTCGAACCAACCCACTGATTGGAGTGGCAAGCTCGATCAAAAAGGCTGGTTGTGAATTTGGGTCCCTCTGGAATGCGAAATGTACATGACCACGCCTAGAGCCGAAAAGGGTGCCTACCACTCGGGGTCCAAGCCCGAGTGGTAGGCTCGAACGGTTCTTACCGAAGGCGGTGAGAACCGAACGGAGCCTGGACACTGCAGCTGCCTGAAGTTTCCTCCTTGGAAGTTGATGAGCTGCTGCTGCTGCTGCCACATGGCCATGTTGTGGTTTGGGATGATGATCATGCTCTGTGTTCTTCTCTTCCTCATGATCAGTTGTTTTTGAGGAGGATGAGGACTTGAAGCTTGGAAGCGCTACATGATCATCATCTTCAGTACCAACCTTGTTTGTCCAGTGGAAGTGTCTCTTGGAGGAAGAGTCTTGCAAGGTCCTTGCCATGCTCACTGTCTTCATATGAGAAAAGCAATCAATGGCAGAGGCAGTCCTTAAAGATGGTTTGGTGGGTAGAGAGAGAAAGAGAGAGAAAGAAAGAAAGGATTCTGGTCTCTTGTCTTTTAAGTTTTATTGATATGTGGGGCTTTCATTAATTCTTTGTTTCTAGCCCTTTTGTTGTAGCCCAAGAGAATCCTGACAAAAGAAACATAGGCGGACCCACCAACTGAATGAGGAAATGAGAAAACAGAGAGAGAGAGAGAGATTTCATTTTGAAATAGAAAAGAAAGGAATCTGAGGAGACAATGTGTTTGTTATTTCACTTTCTAGTGGGGTACTACCCAGGGAGGAGGAGGAGGAGGAGGAGAGTTGCTTGACTGACTCTTTTGACTTGATAAAATCCCAAAACAAAAAACGGTAAAGATCAAGAGATGGCAAACAAGAGCCCAACACAAACACAAACCCAAAGCAGTCCACAAATCACAAGTCACAAGTCACAAGTCACAACATGCCCTTCCATTTCCATAGCCATGTCGTCGACTTTTACTGCATAAGAAGAGGTGTTGTTGGTATCGGAAACCCTGAATTCTCATGGGCTATGTTGGGTGCAGAGTCTACAACTTCACCACCTACCTGCAAAGTGACACCTCAATGTTTGTGGGGACCCAACCCAACCATGCCTTCTTTATTCTTTGTCAAATCCTTTAACACCACTGAAGCATCACTTTCCTTCCTGGTGAGACCTGTAAACCCCTCTCTCAAGATAAGGTGGCCTTACCACATCAGTTGGTATTTTTATGAGTTTCTATGAGGAATGATTTTCGGAGGGCAGCTTACTTTTGTAAGCAATCGCATGCCGTCAACATGCAATTTTCCATGTTTTTGTGAAAGCCAACCAAAAACACAAATACAACAATAGTCACTGTGCTAATGCAATCTCGATTGAGAAACAGAACAGAGAACACAACTCGTTTTCCAAACTGCAACTAAATAAACCCAAATAATTACATACAATTGGGCACCAGGGTTTGGTTGGACAAACTCTTACTAATTACATTAACTTATAGACAAGGATCCATAACGAGCATACAACTTAAAGTGCATATTGGCATAGGCCAGCACACTAGTCAATGGTTTTCTTTGTACATAATAAGCCACATTAGAAGCACAAATGGACGATGAGTCAAGGACGATTGCCTACGATAATTCAAGAAAAATAAA